GCAATCTGGCTGCGGTCACTCGGTATCCCATCCCATTCTAACACAGGTGGCAGTGGGAATCGGGAACTCCCATCTAATGACTCTATGCAGAGTCCGGTAGCTCTCCTCCTCGCCGTTCTTCATGGTGCGGTGCACGTTGATATAGTGAAGTGCACCTCTTCCTTCAGAACATCAAAGAGGTCGAAGAATGCAGAACTTGCCAGCAAGCGGTTGCTCAGGATCCAGTATTACGTACATCTTCACTGCTTCTTTTGGGCATCCCTCAGGGTAGACGTTGGCTAAGCAGATCTGATGACACGAGCAAGGCGCTGGTGAGTTATCGCACACCACCGTGCAATTGACCCCCCACCACTGGCTCTGGGTGTGCTTCTGTAGCACGTTGAGGCTCCTTGGTCGGGGGAGGGTTATGTGTTGTCTGCTGTGAAGGCTCGGATTCTGGATGCAGAGCAGCTGGGTGCTCGTTGCTGTTGCATAGATGACATTGCACCTTTGGCTGTGCAGTCTTTGGGCGCGTGCTTAGAAGATTCGCAACATTTGTAGCAGAATCTGAACTCCCGTAACAAATCCTTCCTTTGGTGCAGAGGTTTCCGTGCAGCGAGTGTCGAGAGTTGTGCAAAGGACAAAGCTCAACTCTCTTTGTAGTTGGAGATCTAGATTGGGTTGAGGCTGACGAGTTAGCGGCCGAACTCTTTATGGTTGGGAAGTCGACCTTGGTCTTATGGACAACCATGAAGGCTTTTCCCTTTGCAGTGTGCGTAGGGCCTGTGGATGGCACATAGTTGCTGGTGGATCTTTTTTCAGTTGGAGGACTAACAGCTCTGAGTCTGTGAGTCCGGGGATTGTTGCACGATGTTGCCTGGTGGGCCACAAATTCTTTGAGAAGGGTAAAGGGGGTACCTTTGTGGCGACCCTTGGCCATGAAGGCCTCAGACAACTGGATCCACTGTTCAATTAGCACCTGCGGTAGTTTTCGAATGATTTTGAGAGGTCAAGTAAAGCAAGGATGGATGCACTACCCCCATCCCGCTCCCGCCAGAGATCATCCAAAAGTGCAACCAATGCTGTTTCTGTCCCAAATCCAGGCCTGAATCCTGACTGGTAGGCGTTGAGATAATTCGTTTCATCCAGAAATCTCTGCAGCTGCTGTGCAACCACCTTCTCAACCACCTTCCCCCCAAAGATCAGAAATTATCCAACCGGGTGGAGTCCAGCGATGGCTTCTTAAGAAGTGGGCGGACCACAGCCTCCTTAAAGCGCTGGGGCACCTTCCCCTCCTGTAGAGAAGAATTAATCACTGCCAGAGTCCACCCGCCTGTCAACTCCTGGGAAGCTTTCACAAGCCAATTTTCAGGGTGTTCTTAAAAAGGGTGGCCTATCTACGATTCTATGCTGGAGATCCACAAGTCTGAAGGTACCTTAATATGTACCATTTGATCCTCCCTCTGTTCTATACCGCTTGAATATTCTTAATACTGTTAACATGGTTTCAGTAAGAAAGTTATGATTTAAAGAACTGAGTACTATATGTTATTAAATCATATTCCTGGAATTTGCAGTGTATCTATTTATGAAGAATTCTGGATCTCCCATGCTCGGATTCCTGCAAATATGTATTCTTGGGAACAGAAAAAGGTCAGCCTGTCCCAGATACAAGAGTGGCTGCTAGGAAATGGCCCCCTCGGCCTCTGAACTAGCCACATGTCAACCCAACGGAAGGAGCAGACAATCCCACCTGGCCAAAGGTTTAATAGATAGTTAACAAAATGAGTTTTCAATGAATTTTCAAATATTTTTTATAATGCTTTATTGAGTTTTTTTCCATTTATACATAATACCAATAGTTATTAAACAGTGCTGTGACATTATATATACACTTATGTGTCCTATCAAAACTTACAATACACAATACTTTCATACCCTCTTATCTGTTATATACAATATTTACATTTTCTCTTCTTATATCTATTATCAATCCAAATAAATCATGTTTCCCATACTGCATTGTATTCTGTGTCTGCTTTCTTTTTTAATTCCATAGTTAATTTATCCATTTCCACACACTCTAAATTTTTTTTGATTAAACCTTCAGGTGGTATGGAGTTTTTCTTCCAGTACTGAGCATATGAAATTCTTGCTGCCGTTAATATATATAAGATATTTTGTCTTTATGTTACAATTTTTTAAATTATTCCTAAAAGGAATAATTCCGGGACAAAATCAATTTTGTTTTTTGTTAACTCTTCTAACCACGTTCGAATCATTTTCCAGTATTTTTTCGCTTTGGGGCATGTCCACCAAGAATGAAAGAAGGTACCTTGTTATTGTCCACACTTCCAACCATTTGGTTTTAAGTTTGGGTAGATCTTAGCCAGTCTTGAGAGTGCCAAATGCCAACAATAGAACATTTTATGTTGGTTTTCCTTATATGCCATCGATTTTGTTATTTTATAATTCACATTCCAGATCTTTTCCCATTCTTCCAGATCAATAGTATGTCCAACGTTCCTACCCCATGCAATCATTGTTCCTTTCACAATTTCTTCCACTCTTCCAAATTCTAATAAATGTTTATACAACTTTGATAATAATTTCTCATCTAGGCCAATCAAGATTTTATCTAGTTTTTGTAATTCATTATCTATTCCAAACTCCTCACTGTCTTTTTTATATCTTGTTTGAATTGCATATAGGTCCACCAATTCAGTTTTATTCTCTGCTCTTCCAATTTCTGTCTACTCTTTAAGTTCCCTTGGTCATCTAAAATTTCCCTATGCGTGGCTGTTTTCTTAACCTCCATTATATTGGGGTGGATTCAGGGGTGGGACCCAACAGGGTTAACTACCAGTTCAGTCATTTACGAGGTTTGGTGATTTATGATGTGCTTCCCTGCAGGCTGCCCGCGGCGCGACTGTAAATCGTCATCAGCATGCTGTGTGCAGAGAAGCAGCCTTTCAAAAAGCCCCTTTTTCCTGCTTTTTTAACTGCAGCTGTGCCTCGCACGGCAGCTGAAATTGAAAAAATCAGGAAATAAAGGTCAGGTAAGAGCCCAGGTGGGCAGGTGGGCAAAAACATCAGCAGATATAGAACCGGTTCTATGTCTGATGCTCTTCAGAGCTACCAGTTCTACAGAGGTGGACAGAACCGATAGAAACCCACCCCTGGGTGGATTACTGTTTCCAAGAGAGATACCCAATTTGGAATTTTCAAATAATATTTATTCTTTATTTGTCTCCATGATTGTATCAGTACATTTCTTATTTTATGTCTATAGAAGTATAGATACAGTTTGCTTTCTTTATACCGCAGGAAGGCATGCCATCCTGTTTGTATGTCATGGTTAATATTCCTTCTATGGTTAATATTCTTTTTTTCCTTAGATTAATCCAATCTTGTATCCATAAAAGTATTGCCACCTTATGGTATAGTTCCCAATCTGGAAGCCCAAGGCCACCTCTGCTCTTACTATCCTGTAAGTCTTTTAACTTTATTCACACTTTTTTGCCTGCCCAAACAAATTTTAGTTCTCTAAAAAAATTATTGTCTAATTTTGTTGGAATTGTTTGAAATAATATAAAATCTTTGGCAGAACATTCACTTTTATAGTTGCTATTCTTCCTAATAATGATAATTGTCAAGTCCCCCATTTTTCCAAATCTTTTTTAATTTGATTGAATAATTTGGTGTAATTGTCTTCTTTTATTGAGGAGCACTTTGCTGTTAACCATGTTCCTAAATATTTACTTTTTTGTGATTTTCAAATATATAGAATCATGGTGTTTTACGTAGCTGTTAATCTGCTTTTTTCCATATCTAGATAATCTGTGTCTAGATTCCATATCTAGATCAAAATATTATTGTTTTAAGGCGACGCAACTGAGTTCAAGCAATTATAAAGGAAAGCCACCAGAACCTAATAACCATTTTGTGTAGACCTTTCTGGCAGGATATACAATTTGGGAGGAACCCCCTTGGAATGGTGTGGGAGGAGGAATGGATTTCCAGAGGAAAATTTGCAGACTACAGGAAGCATTTGCACCACTCAAGTGGCCCTGAGGACATAGATAAATCTTCAAGTGCTTCAAAGACCCTCTAAAACAGAGGTCTCCAAACTTGGCAACTTTAAGACTTTAAGACTTGTGGACTTCAACTCTCATGGCTGGCTAGGGGATTCTGAGAGTTGAAGTCCACAAAGTTGCCAAGTTTGAAGACCCCCTGCGCTCAAAAGATGCCAATGACCAGCTGTCTGCAAGGAATATAAATCCTTCCCTTCCCCACCACCACCCTGTCAAGAGCTGAAGAAGCTTTTGGGATGAGAAGCGAAACGTCTTCCAAAGAAAAAACCAGAAAGTCCAGTTGCCTCCTGAAAAAAAAAAAAAAGCACCTTTGGGACAACCAGGACCTGGAAGACAGAGAAATCTCTGCAGACAGTCAGTCCGGCAGGGTATTATCTCATTGTGCATTGAAAAGTTCCATCTTCACTGATTTCCCAGTTAAACGCCATTACTCTTTTTGGTTCCTGCTGAAATAAACCCTTCCCCTGTTTTTTTGTGTTTTTTTTAATACATCAAGTAAAAAAGCAAAAAGCCCTTTTTTTCTAATGTGCATTTCTTACGAATTCCATCTTGTTTCAATTTTGTTCAAGCAGCGAAATGATTTTCTTCTTCTTTTTTTGAAGGGAATTGATATTCCACGTAAGGCATTTAAAATCCCTATTGATGCCAAGCATTTAGAAAAGCCGCAATGGATCAGAAAAGGCGTTTCTAAGGAAAGTCTGCGTTTCTCTCGAGCCGTTTCTCGGGAGCCTTTTCCTTGCGGGACTAAAGCGCCGCCTTCCAAGCCGCCCGCGGAGCCCAGGCCCTCCGCCCGTCCCGCGCGCTGCCCAGCGGCGAGGCGGGGCCGGCAACGGCTGGAGCTCCGCCCGTCACGGCCTTCTCCGCCCCGCGTAGCGAAGAGACGGGCCGACGCCGGAGGAGGAGGAGGAGGCGGGTGGCGGCGGGCAGCCTCGGCGGCCGGCGGGGAGAGCCTCTCCGGGCGCCGCGCCGATCGCCCGCCGGCCGCTGCTCGCCGGAGCCCAGGTAGGGCGGCCGCGTCCGGGGGAGGAGAGCTGCAGCGGGGCGCTCTCGGGCCGGCCGGCCGCGGCTTGGCTGCTCCGATCCGGCCGGCCGGCCGGCTGCCCGGTGCTCGCTGGGCCGCAGCGGGAGGCGCTGCCGGTCTGCGCTCCGGAACGTTTCGCCCACCCGCTGCCCTCTTTCCCCTTCTTCCTTCCAGGCGGGTCCGCCGCGGGGCTCCTGCCCGCCCGCCGCCCGAGGGAGCCGAGCCGTGCGGGCCGAGGGCGATGTCGGCGCGGCCGCCGCTGGCCGAGAAGGCGCTGTCCGAGGCTTACGGCCGCCTGCGCTACCGGGACGCCTCGCTGCTCATCTGGCAGCAGCAGCAGCGGCAACTGGAGGCCCGGCCCCCCGCCACCTACCTGAGCCGCAGCCGCAGCGCCTGGTACGCACAGTACGGCAACCAGGCCATCCTGGTGCGGGACCGGAGCAAGCTGGAGGGCGCCCGCGACACCGGCCAGTCCCGCTTCTGCGCCCTGATGTGACCCGGCGCCTCGCCCGCAATGCGCGGTCTCTGCGCCCGGGAAGCAGCTGGCAGTCACCTGGACCAGCTTCGTGCCCTTGGGCCCCGCATCAAGTGGCCGGCTGTTCCGCCTGCTGACAGCTGGTGCGGGCAGAAAGTCTGCCTTCCCGATGGACCAAGGCTCTGGGTGAGGAGAGGGCAGGGCAGCTGCTGGAAGGAAGGAGGGGAGCCCAGTGGGGCAGGAGCTCAGCTTCCTCCCTTACTTTAGGGGCTCCCAGCCCCCCCACGGCCTTTCCGGGAAATTGGGAGGGGGAGAAAAGGAGGCTGGGGCAGACATTCCCTAGAGGCCCTTCCCCACATCCCTAAAGTGCTGGGAGCTGTAGTCCACCCACATTGGGTGAATTCCACACACAGGACCACGAGGCCAATCGGGACCCCATTCTCGACCCCAAAGAGGCACCCTGAAGTTTGTTTTGAACCTGGGACAAGCTGGGTGGCGGTGCGTCTTGGGGGACATGCAGATTCTGCGCGACTCTGGGGGAGGGTCTCCTCTGGCTTCCTCCACTGGGCGGGATGGAGCTACTCCAGAGCCCCCTCCCCAGCTTCCTTCTGGGCTCCAGCAGGGTGTTCAGATTCCTGCAGGCTCCAATGGAAGCCCTCGCATTGCCTCCCTCTCGGCTGCTGGTGTGGGTGTTGCATTGTGGGCCCTCCCCCCCCCTTGGGCTTCCTGAAGGCCCGGCTGACTTCTCTGATGGGGGGTGGACAATCGGAGAGGATGGGCAAAACCCGCTTGCTGAAATCTGGCCTGAAGGCCTGTTCACCCCGAGGCCTGCCAGGATTTCCTCCAAGGGTTTGGGTAGCAACATCTCCACATTCTCGGCCTTGGCCACAGCGTTGCCGGAGCCCTGGGCTGCTGCTCCAAATCTCAAGCAGATTTTCGCCTAGCTCAGGACTGCAGGCACGTGGCAAAGCCGCCAGCTGAGCTTGGATGCCGTGTTCATATTGACAGCTGGGAGAAACTGGGCTTGCACAGAAATGGAGACACTTGTCCTGGAACCGTCGGTCCCAAGAATGAAAGCAGGTGGCACCGGGAGGCCAAACTCTGTTCCAGGTGACATGGTCGGCTGAGGGCCAGTTCCATGATCTGGGCTTCCCAGACGCATTTCCTGGGCACTGGCACAGTTATGATGCTCGAGGAAACAGCCTCCACTCGGTGTCTTTAACTGTACAGCTCAGCGCATCTGATGGGAGAACCAAGTTTGAATCCCTCCAATTCTGGGCAGCCGGCCTTCTTTGGCCGCTCTTCACACGTATTTTATCTTGGGCGAACAGTGGTCAGTCTGGCCCTTTCACATTCATTCCGTGATGCCGCAAATGTGATGCCAGTGAGGACCCAGAAGGAGCAAGTTTTAAAGGTGTACCGGACAGTGTTGAGTATGTTTCCTTTTAAATTGCATCTGTCAATAAAGTGTATCTCGGCACACACTTCTGCTCCCAGGCTTGTTATGGTGTCAAGTACAGAAGTGGCATCTGCTCTTAAATGGGTCTTTGTTGCTTTATTTTTTTTCCCAACTGTTCTACTTTAAAACAAGATACAGAGAAAAAGACGGACATGGGAGAAGACTAGGAATATACAAATAAAACATGCTTTATCTGGAAGTTACCAATACCTGTAAGTTCAAAGTCTATACAAAAAGAAACCCAAAGAATCCCAAACAATCCCATTCCCCCAAAACTGAATCAACATACAAGGAATAAGCACCAGAACAGGAAACTATCAAAGGTCCATAGCACCTGTTGGTTAAAAAGTCAAAATACATTTAAATTAAAAGGATTCCTAATTTTCTTTTTCAGAGCTTAGTTTTAAAAACAACACAAACCTACATTTTGTCTGCTGCTCTTCAAAACGTAGGATACTTTTTTTTTTTAAGTGACCACTGGAGTTAATAAATAAAGTATTTCTATGTACATGAAAAAGGGTAACTCGATTCCGGGTGCGTCGTGGGCAAAGTGCAGGCCTCCAGGGCAGGCTGGAGGAAAAAAAAGCTTCTAAAAAATGGATGAACCTTACAAAAACATCGCTTGCCCACCCCTCCCCTCCCCCAAAGCATATTCTCCCACCATACCTTGAGGTAAAAGTTTTGATTATTTGGAAACCTGCACTCGCACGACACACACGTTCTCCTGGCACGGGGGAAGCCTGGACTGTAGCTCAGCCTGGGGGCTGCCAGCTGTCCGGGGGCGCCTTGCCAGGGGTCCGGCAGCCCCTCCGCTCCCAGGGAAGCTGCCCAATGCCAGGATGAGGATGGAAGCCCAGGCCCCGCGGGCGGCTGGGAGACCCCGAGCAATGGGGCTTCACGGGCTCCCCTTCTGCCCGAAGGCCAAGGAGCCCTGCACAGGCAGACCCGAGGCCTGGCCAAGGGCGGCCGGGCAACCCCTTGCTAGCCTCAGGGGGCACCCACCGCCCTCAGCAGGGCGGCCACCTCTGAAGAAGTTCTCGCAGCCAGAGCATGAATCTATATATTGATTAAAAAAAGGTAAAAGAAATATCTAAAAAGGTACGCTTTAAAAAACAATCCACAGTACATGAGCTTTTTCCCTCTTATCTATAAAAAAAGATTAGGATCTTCATCTCAGTGGAGAAGCGGGAGGGGGGGGGCGCTGCCAGGCTTGGGCGGGGGGTGTTGGCAGACCAGCAGAAGATTAGAACATTCACGCTGGCCGGCTGGCCTTGGAGCTCTGGCCTCCCCCCCACTGCAGTACCATTCCCCGGTCTTCGGAGAGGATCGGCCCTCAGGCCTGGCCAAAGGAGCCCCTGGGAAGGGCAGAGTCGCCCCGCCTCCAGGCTCCGGCCACGGCAGGAGGGGGCAGAAGGGTCTCTGTTGATGAGTTCTCCTTCAGCATCTCGACGTCTCGGGTTTAAAAAAGGGGTTTAGAGACTTGAAGTGATGCAAATCATTTTGCCACCAAGTCTAGTCTGGCGCTTGACCTAATCGAAGCAGGAGGAAACTCTGCGGAGAAGAGGACGTTTCTGTAACGCCGAGTCCTTCTGGAAAAGGGCTGCAGAGGAGTGGGAAACGACGCAGACTTGGTCACGAGGGGAGAGAGGAACCGTTAGAAAAATAAAGCCAGGGGACAGAGTCCAGTCCGGGCGGGCCGAGAGTCCCCCCTGGTCATTCGGAGTCGCTGCTGTCGGAGCTGGAGCCGCTGGAGCTGGTGCTCCCCGACTCGGAGCTGCTGCTGCTGCTCAGGTGAGACGGACCGCCGGACGGCGCCGAGGAGCCCGATTTTTCTAGCAAGAAAAGGAAGAGAGGAGAGTGGTCAGCTGAGCCTCAGCTGTTGGCCCCAGCTTTGGCAGGGCAGCTCCCTCCCCAGCCCTCCTGTCCCTTCCCCTCCCCTCCCCTCCCCTCCCCTCGGGGGTCTCGGGCCTGACACCCGTCCCTGCCTTTCTTTGGGCAGCAACCCCCCACCCCCCACCCGGGAAGGGGTCTTCCCTGCTTCGGCTCAAAGCCCCTGCAGAAAGCAGCCTGGGAGTCTGGCCTTGGAGGTGGAGGGGTTCATACTTGAAAAGACTGGCTCGGTCCTCAGATGGGAGACCCCCAAGAGATCCCAGGGCTGGGAAGCTCAAGAGTTGCAGCTGCAAGTCCAACTTTGATGATTTAACACATGCTTGAACTCAAGTTCTCCCCCCCCCCCCGCATTCCTCCTCCAGCAGATGAATCAGTTACACCCAAAAGACAGGTGAGACCAGCCCTGCCCAAAGACTAACACAAGGGCTGGGATGGAGTCTCCAGTGTTGCTCGTAGGCCCACTGAGAGGCCGAGTGGAACAGCCAGAGTGCAGCTGCCATGTGAGAGCCTGCCGGGGAAGAGGGTGGAGGAGACGGGGATGCGAAGCCGAGGGGGAATCGTGAGATGGACTGTGGAGGCAGCCGCCACAGGACGGAAGGCCAAATCTGTTAAGGTATATTAAGATTGAAGAACTGACCAGCAGTGAGTAGCTGCTAGATGCTGCGGATCTGATGTAAGTCTGGCTGAGGTCACAAGAGTGATTCAGCAGAGTCTGGGTATTTCCCTTTAAGGCTGGAGAGTAAAGATCCCCTTAAGAGGTGTGTATATAAAAGGCAGCCCTTAGAGGGAGTGGTTCTCTTTCCTCGTGGCCGGTGTTCACTGCAGAAGTTCTCCAAGGGTTAGGAAGAAGAAAGCTTGATTGTAAAGGTATTTTGCCACCACGTGTATATTATTTGTATATATCTGTTGAATATTAAACCACTGTTAATGTCTCTGTGTGCTGTGTGTTGCTCCTGGGTTATCTCATAAAGGTAATCACGCTGCCAAACGCTCTGACAAAATCTTTCCCACCGGAGACAGCAGGAGAGGGAGCGGATTTTGTCCTCCAAACATCCATTCAGAATGGCACCCCTTCCGGACCCTGGCATCTCTGCCCCCGTCCTGCTGGCCCCGAGCCTCTCCCGTGGGATCCTCGGCCTCCCCACTTCGACTGCGAAAGGCAGACGGAAGGGCTGGGCGCCTCTGCTGCCCCCAAGGCTGGCCTGCTCACAGCTTTAGCAAGGGCCTCTTTGACCTCTCTGCCCCCGTGCCAAGGGAAGCATCCTGGCACTCCTGCTGCCAACACCCGGGCACCACCAGGCAGCCAAGATCGCCTAGCGGGGCTGGCCACGGAAGGGCTGCTTTGCCCTCTTTGGAGACCCCCGAGATGCCAGGCAGGTCGAGCCAAGGAATTTTGGGCTTGGGGGGCACTGCTGTGTCCCCCGTCCCCCCCAAATGGGTGGAATGGAAGCCTAAAAAAAAAAAACAACCTTGGTTCGTGAAGAAAACCTCCAGGGAATGAGCTGCCTGGGGTCCCTCTGCTTCTCATGGGGAGCCCTGCTCCAGAGCGCCCAGCACAGGCCCTCCTGGACGGCCGGACGGCCCCACTGGCGCAGAGCTGAAGGAGGGAGGCGGCCTCCGCTTACCTTTCCTGGCCGGCTTCTTGTTGTTGCTCAGCTGCCCGCTCACGTCCTGCAGGCGCTTCTCCAGCTCTTTCTTCTTCTCCTGCGCCATCTCCTCCTTGGACTTGGCTGCCTGCTTCTTCCCACTCGCGGCTGTGGGGAGAAAAGCAGGGGGGCTCGGGGGGGGGGGGGAGTCGGGGTCCCAACTTCCCAGGAGGCAAGGGCCAGCATGGCCGGTCGGGTTGCGCTGGACGAAAGGCTTGGACTCAAGGGGATTCTGGACAGGGGCCCAGACGGCCAGGGCCATGAGAGAGACGGGGGGCCCGTGAGTGGGGGACAGTGCCACAAAGGGCAGGGGCCCAGCCCTGGGCCCCAGGATTTCACTGATCAGGACAAGGTGAGGCTCATCGAGCCATAGAGGCTCCCTCAGGGACCGCAGGGGCCTTCCTGGGGCCCAGCCTGAGCAGCCAGAAGGAAATCAGGAAGGGCTGGAACCAGATCCACCCTCCTTCCACGGGAGCTAATGGGAGGGGCAGAGGCCTGCAGGCCACCCCTTCCATGAAGGAATGCAAATTACAGAGCTCCCCTCCGGAACTCATCCAACAAGAAGGGAAGCCCCCCTTCCCTCCAGACTGGCCCCTTCCTCCTCCTCCTCCCACTGCCTGCCACGGTCAAAGGGGCTCCTTCTTCTCAAGTGGGTCCTTGCCCCCAGCCTCAGGCACATGGGGGTTCATGGGTGGAGAGAAGGGGAATGCCAAAGCACCCGGACTATCTTGTACAAACCCAGAGGTGACCCTTGGTGGCAAAACAGATAATGGAACAGTGACGTGTGAAGGAAATGAAGTGTGTGCGACAACCAATATTCCCGTTGATTGCCGTATACACTGCTTGGCCAGCAGAGAGGAAGGCGGCAGCACCAGGGGTCTCCTTCGCAGTCGCTAACCGGTTTGTTGATAACTGACCAGGAATGCTTGTGGTCATTTCAGCCTTAGGCTTCCCTCTTGCCCCAGCACACTCTTCTTCTGGACCTCGCCCCAAACTTCTGAACCCGTGCCTCGTCCAAGCGGGGACCAAACAGGCCCTGCCATCACCGTCTCCTGGACGGAGAAGACAGGCCGAGGCCTGGGTCCCATCTTGAGACCCTGACGTCTCTTTAGAAGCCCAGCTGTGCCTCCTCTTCCCAAGGGGTCCCTGCTGTGGTTGAGTGGGGTGTGCGGAGAGAGGAAAGAATGGCAAGTGCTTGTCCGACCACTTGAGTTCCAGGATGTCTACACCATGTTGGCATTCTTGGACTCTCCGGCGCCCTTAAGCCATGCATCCCCTCGGCTCACAGTGCCTAGGATTGCAGGAGAGGACTTCCAGGTGCTCCAACCTGGACACCCCAACCTTTAAAGGACTGTTTCAAGCCCTGGTTCCCTCTGCCTTTCCAGGAGGCCACCACGAGACCCTTGGGATACCCCTGAGCACTCTTAGCTCGACAGGAGGTCAAAGGGGCGAGCAGCTTTCAGAACTGGCCACCCAGGTATCTCAGAAAGGCCAACACGAGGGAGGGAGGGATGGCCACAGGAAACGCCACTCCCTTGACTTTAAGAAAGCTAGCAGTCACTGGATTTGGGGGTAACCTAAGTGGACATTGTGATCTTGCCCCAGTTGATCTTTGGGAGATCCAGAATGCTTCCCAGGCCCCACCAGCCATGGAAATGAACTCCTGGGAACTCCTGTCTATAAATCTCTCTTCTTAGAGAGCGAGCAGGGGAGGGTGGAGATTCCTTCTCTGAGCTTGTGGGTTCGTGTCCGAACGTTTCGTTGCCAGGGTAGGTAACTTCTTCAGCGGAATTTAGGGGATGTCAGAGCATTCCTGGCAGGTGGATGTGTCAGTAGCCTTCTAGGTCTGCCACGACCAGATGCAAGAGGGTGATGCCAGCCATTGGTGTGGGAAACTGTGAAGCCCCCCGTTAATTCAGGATGATGATGGAGAAATAGATGCAGCCCGTCTCCCCTTGATGCAAC